TCATAGTTATCATTGTTGTTGTTGTTGTTGTTGTTTCTGTTGATGTTGTTGTTATTATTTGTTATTAAAGTTTGGATGATCATTTATAAATTCTAGAAAGCACAGGGATTATAAAACATTTAAAATCAATATTTTGATGATATTAACAGAAACCCTGGTAAAACTGAAAGGCAATAATATAGTTGATCCATTTNTGGTTCTTGCAACACATAGCCCCCCCTACAACGTGACGTTCAGAAACCTCAATAAATCTGCCTCATTTGAACTATTTATTCATCAAAGACTCTCAAAAATCAATTTAATAAATTTGAAAAAATTGTATAAAAAAGTATTTTCAAGGCGTTTACACGGGTTATTTACTTCATTTTGCAAGTTGGCCCCCTGACGTCAACTGCGTTTTTTTTGTCAAATTGTGAGCCATCTGGCATTATACGTATGTATTTGAAAAATAATGACGTTACATACGTAGCTTAGTTCACTAACTCTAACTCATTCCTAGTTGGCTCTACAAGGCCAAAAGTGTCTGACTGGGCCAACCAGCCCCGGTCTCCCCTATTTATTTATTTATTTATTTATTTATTTATTTACTTATTTATGTATTTATTTGGAGTACTATGATAATGTTACTCCAACTGTCAATTGTACATTGTAATGGAACGTTAATTCGTTTTTAGACAAAAGAAAAAAAACTTGTTAATCCATTTTTATTTATCTGTTTATTTACATTTGCAGTATTGTTCTACTTTCAGACATACAGGTATGTGACCTACATTGCACTTATGCAAAATCATCAAAACTCCCCCCCCCCCCCCGGCACCCCTATAGCATTCACGTAGAAAAGGGCTTATACATTATTATCCCAGGCTCACAATTGGGCTGAGTTAACGCTTTTTTTAGTCCAAATTAAATCTGGTGCAGAGAATTGGTGTATTCACGTTCCTCCCCATATGCCGTCCTGGGCCAATGCCTGACACGACGGAACAGAACTGCGTAGTTGTCAACTGTGACAAGGCGTGACAGGAAAAGTAGTCCTTCAGGAACCGTAGTCTGTTCCCCATTATACTTTGTACAGGTGACATTCGACTAACTTAACCTGTAGTAATCATATGGGAGCCTGGACTTCCAATCATTGGACTATACCATTTCTGTCACACCGACTATGAAGAGTAATCCTAATCTGTAAGATGACCGCACGCGACCCCGGGATTTCATTCCCAGGACTTCCATTCCTGTCACACCAGTTGTGTGGAGAGACGGGGGGGATGCGGGGCACAGTCAGCGTTTATTTGTATAATCTGTTGCGGTGAACGCTAGTTCTAGATCTCAAACAATTTGAACAGTGCTACGCATTCATTTCACATGACCATAAAACAAGGTGCACCTAAGCGAGGCATAATATTAATAATAAAAATAAATAAGGACACAACCTTGCCCTTTGAAAATGCCTTTTATATAATAAATTAAATTACAATATACAGGGGTAGGCCTACCTGTTTACAGTATGCTTAGCTGCCTTTATAAGAATATTAAACGTGCAAACAGCTGTAGATTGACGACATATCAACAGCGAGGACTGCGCACATCGATGTTCTGAAGTTCTCGTTAGCGAGGACGGTGGAAAGCGTCTCTCTAGACAGGAGGTGGGTCAACGCTTCGCTGTTACGCAAGGGTCGACGCCTTTTTTGATGCGAGGCCAGCCATATAGCACTACCTGCAACCTGGAGAGAGAGGTCATGTCAGGACACAAGATGGAGGACATATTAGGCCAGTAAACGAGCATATTTTCCTCTATATGCCATCTCAGGCGCGCATTGTTCTGTATTGTTTTCATAACCTTTGCGTATTAGGGAAAATAAGAGACAGAGAAAGTTATGAAGTAACCAAACAACATGTGTGAAGCAGTGATGTGAGAAAAATATCCACATTTCTTTTGTGGAAAATCCCAGGCTTAAAGTGAGGGTCCCATTTTTTTGGAGGGGGGGTGTAGAGGGGGTTTGTGATCACTGTTTGCCAAATAAAAATCAATGCATAAATGACATTAAATGAAATTAATACCTCTCTAAAAATGAGAGTTGCAAATCACAAATCACCAGGTATAATTCAGCTTCACGAATGATAGATAATAAAAAAGTCGCATTCACGAGTCACGTGAACGGGATGGTACACGGATCACGGCAAGTATTATGAACGCATCTCGTGAAATAAGAAAGTGGCTTGAACGGATTACAAAAAAATACCCGAAAGGAGCCTCAAAATCTAGACGTAATCTCCAGGCAAATAGATAAATTTTTAATCCACTTTTCATTCAAAGTTTATGCATAAATTGCTCTAGCATCGGAGCCCTTCCTTAACGTGGAACTAACGTACAGTGTATATTGACAAATGATATGGAATTCACCATTTTGTAGAGAGTATTCGGTCTCTAACACGATCTGCTCTCAGCTGCTGCAGTGAGTGTATCAGTGGCTACCGCAATATCGTATAGATGGCGCGGTGATACCTTCCATGCCCTTGCAATTAAAGAGATAACAACCAGGGAGTCGCCCTCTAAGACTGGGTTCCCATGCCTAGAGATATTAGACTGGGTTACAATACCTACATGATCTAAAAGGATCGATCCGTCTCCAAGGGGTTTCTCGCTAAATTGCTCTCAACTTAAGCGGCTTAGATGTTTGGCATGCATACTGAAACTCTTAAACGATGATTAATTACCCCCTAGCAGCTTCAGCAGGCGTGACAGACATCTAAGCCGCTTAAGTTGATTGAATTTAGCGAGAAATCCTCCAGGAGACAGTTCGATCAATAGTCAGTACGACAGGGTCTGGGAATAGTCCCATAGATATTTTACTAGCTTATTTGAATAACATGACGCTGATGTTTCTTGTATGGGGCTTAAAGGCTTCCAGTCGATGCATCATCAATTTCTGGTGCGGAAATGCCAGCAATAAAAAATTACTTTCTAGATCAAAAAGTAAATTACTTCCTCGTATAAGTTTACTGTTAAACTACACACGCTTCAAAACCAGATCACAGCGCGGCCCATGGCTGTTTCCAATATACATGGGTCCACCTTACTTACTAACCTATTATTATTAGTTCAGTGGCAGATTTAGGGGGAGGGTCAGGGAGGTCCTGACCCCCAACTCTTTGATTTCTGAAAACACAATGGCCCCTCTTAAAATTAGAATTTTAACTAGATTAATCATATTTCTCATCTGTAGCAAATGGCACCGTCCCCATTCTAAAATACCAACAATTTTTCGCGGCCCTTCAGCAGGCCCCAAAGCCCGCCCCCCCCCCCTTCAAATTATCCCGGACCGGCCCCTGTATAAGTTCAACGTAAGTCGTCAATATGATGATAAGAACGATAAGATGGGCCACTGGTCGGGCTACTGGTGACCATTCCTGGCCGTATGATCAGGCGACCAGTCCAGCGAATGAGACCGCAACGTCGGTCAGTTGCTAAATGTAAGCTCCAGTATCAGAGTTATTCATATTCTTCATAATAATAAACAACTATTAAATGGATAAGGCCACTGTACAACAGCTCTGCTGAGGTGAAATGAGCTGTGCCGTTCTATTTCTACTGGAAATCCGCCTGCTTGCACGCAATACCCCACAGGTCTGTTTGAGGCGATGCCAGCAAATACAGATGAGGAGAACCGTTGTCTTCATTTGTTAAACACAAATTGGATCAGGGACAATATTCACGTTGGTATTAATCCATAAACTTTACGTAATCGCTTCCGAAGGAGAGACATTATTCCCCAAGTAAAGTCTGATGACCGAATTGTTCCATAACCAATTAGTTGCGTCATAAGGATGTGGATTGAGAGGTAATTTGGCAATCAAATATGTTTAAGGAGTACATTTTCTCCCAGTGGAGGTGATTGTCGAGCAGTTTGGATTGTGCAATAAATTGCTGTAATTTTGAATAAAAAGGGACGCGGAGATAGACGTTAAAGAGTGATTAGTCGTTTTTTTTTTTACTAAAAGAAAGTCATGCTTTTGCTGTAAGTTGCATGCAGCTGTAAATTTGTATTTAAGAAAATTGTATCTACAAAATTAAACATCCTTTGTATGTAATAAGAGACCGTAAACTGCGACGGAGATGCATTGAAAACCATTGAACCTAACACCACGGGTATTTATTTGAAAAAGCAGAATATACAGAATGCAGAACTGTGCGCCAAACACCACACCAGAATGTGAGAATGTTCCCTGTCATATACCAGCAGAAGAAGTGGTTTTCAAAAACTAAGTACATGTATATGTACATGTATATGTATACACACAGCTAGAGAGGTTAAACCACTTGACGCAGCTGCATTAAAAGGATAGGTCCTTTAAAATAAAAAAATAATCGTTTACTGTTTTACATTTGTTAACACATGCTATATTGAATTATTTCTATTAATTTACATCATGTACTCTTCTATTTTTATAAATCGTAATACTACCTTACGTATATATTACTAAAAGATAGAAAAAACTACACATATATAATCCATGTTTGTGAATAAAACTACCTAGCAATCTGCTCGTAATGCATTCTGGTGCAAAACTATTTACAAAATGCTTGCAAATGCCATAAAATGTGCAGTGTCCCCTTTTTCTTGAAAGGATAACAATACATTGTAAACAACACATAGAACTATAACAAATTCGATTTTACCACTGAAACGGTAGTTATCGCAATTATTCTGGAAATTGCACTTGCCACACAGGGACCTTCATGGCAAAAAAAAAAAAAAAAAAAAAAAAAAAAATTGGATTGGATTCATAAATTCTTTGCTGCATTTTGCCCCAGGAAATCCATTTTATGGCACTTAATCATCTTAATTGTTATCCTTTCAATATATTTAATTACAACTAAATTATTGATATTTAAATAAGAATTCAAATGTTTAGAAATCAATTTTGCAACATTTAAAGTAGCGTGTACTTTAGTCGTCCTTTTTAAGCAGTTCCAAGTTTTTTTTTTTAATATTTTAGGGAAAAGCTTTGACTTCAGTTTCATTGTTTGCATTGGTCCATGTGTCGCAATTTTCGTTGTCAAAACAAATCCATCAACTTGTTAATTATACAAAGACAGTGCATATCTTTTGCAGTTTCTTTTTCCTTGGTTAAAGTTTACGGTTTGTTTGCAGAAAATTGTGTAAACGCAATGCTACTGCTGTTTTATACCTTGATTTAGTTGATTGTGTTGGACAGTGAGGGCAACGAGATCAGTCACGGTGGCACTGCCACAGCGACGTCGACGACGCGGTCATTTCTATGTCGTCGGAAGTAATAGGCACAGTTACTCAACGCATTTACACATTGTGTCTAAAGCTGATTTAAAATATGCATAACTACTGACATGTGCCTTGCGTCCATTGATGAAGCTCTTATCCCAATCTTATGAAGTGAAAAGCCCATGTAAACCGAACGGAACGTTAACATCAGTAGGCACCTCTGCCCGGGCCAACTCCACCATAGTTTTGGCGTCCAATATCAGCAAGAAGTCCGGCTTTCCTTGACCAACGTCCGTTACTGCCGTGAGCACCACACCGCTGTCCTCATCGTTCCCGGCGGACGCTAGAGGGACAAAGACAGGCTCACTGGGGTACTGGGTGTGGCTGCCGCGCCATGCCACTTCCGTGCCGCTCTCCATATCCACTTTAACTACGGCGTTTCGATAGCTGTGCTTCCCTGCGAACGAGCCCCAGCAATAGACGTACTGGTACTTCTTACCGTTGTAGCTGGCGTAGTTAATTCGGGGAAGTTCCAAACCAGGTTTGCCTATCACGATGAACGTGCAGTGGATGCTCCCGTCTGTCATGTCATACCGAGCTTCCATTCGGTTTCTGAAACGCTCCACGGTGATGAGATTCTCTTTCCTCGAGATCGCGTCGGATGTCGGTTTCAAAGGCAGCACGTAGCGACGGACCTCCGGTAAAGTGTGTTCGGGGAACACTTCGTCCGAAAACAACCCGCTTTCAGGATCTAAATTCTTCAGATAGAAGGCGTCAATGATGCTTGGGTCACTGTATCCGCACAGGTCTATTATCAAGTGGTCCTCCTCTTCATAAGCGTTGATATGATGGAAGACGAAGAAGGGGTCCGCAGTGAACAGTTGTGCTACCTCCTCATTGGTCTTTCGATTGACCAATCGGAACCGTGCTTTGATTGT